CAGCGAACTCACGGCGCTGCTCCAGCGCCGCGGCAACATATGCATTACAACAGACGCTGAGTACATGATTATTTCGACGGCACCCAGACGCGTGGGACATATCTTGGAGCGCGCGCCCAACGACACCGCCAGCGACCTCTTTGCGCCGCCATCCTTCGGAGGCTTCGTAGGCATGCCCAACGACAACAGCAACCAACGCGGCGCGGACTCAGCAGACGCTTGGCGTGAACAGGGAATGGGCCCTTGGGCTGCGAGTGCCGCCGATCTCCCATGGCGCCAGGTGTGCCTTCGCTCGCGCCAGCAGCTCTCGGCCCAGCGCCGCGCCGCCGCGGGCCGCCTATCCTGCCGCCGCATGGCCGCGCGCCGATGGGGCGCAGGCCTACGTTGAGCGCGCGAGCGGCGCCAGTTTCGACGCCAGCTCAGATTTTGGAGATGCTATCAATTGTTCATCAGGATAGTTCAGAGGCCTATCCCCAGCCCAGATCGACGCCCAGCTTCTTGCAGACGCAGCACCACAAGCAGCCATGGCGACGACATGTGGACAAGTCCACACAGGAAGGCCGGACGATTCATCATAAAGAAAAGACGTTCGTTTAAAGGCAGTGGGAATGGCAAAGGCAAGGGGGCTCAGATTTGCAGCCCCCTGGCCCAGCCGACCGACGACCAGGTCGACGCCCTCTTCTACGGCGGCAACGGTAAAGGCAAAGGAAAGCGTTCCAGCGGCGGAGGCAAGGGCCGCAGAAGGAACCCACAAGGATACGACGGGCAGGCGATGGAGTGTAGCGTCTGCAAGTCAGAGTTCGCCCACGGGCCGGCCCTGGAAGTTCAGGTGCTCGAAGATCTGGCCTGAGCTTCGGTGGTCGCGCCGACTCGGGGCCTATCGCGCCCTGGATGATGGGCCCCTCTCTGGAAACTGCGGGCTTGCCTTCGCGGTCGCCGAATCTCTTCCGTGCTGTTGAGGCCTGGCCCAATTTCCAGCGCAGCCAGCTCCCGAGGGCCCTTGGCAGATGCCCGAGTCAATCCATGGCTCCTGGTCGGCAACGTCAGTGACCGCCGCCCAGAGCCACGCGTGCGCCGACGCGCCAGGCGTGCTACCTGCGGCTCAAGTGTTCAAGTTTGCTGTCCCTATGTCAGGACCTTGGCTACCAGCGCTTCCACCGTTTTCTGGCGCTGCCCCCGCAGCTCCAGGACCGACGCTAGCAGCGAGCCAGTCGCTTCGCGGGGCCTGCGCGCGCCGCGAGCTCGGGCCTCGCGCGGGCCTGGCGATTGATCGGTCAGCAGCGCAGCGCGAGGGCCTCACTGCATCCTTCTGCGCAACTCGCGGCCCCTGACGACCAACGAGCCAACGTCCTTCGCATCGGCGGCGTCAGCCAGCTCGCCAAACTTCGAGAGCCCGCGCGAGCAGACCGCCTTTCCTAGTTCACAGCGTCTCGGCACCTCGCCGACGTGCCGACCCCGTCCTCCAGAGCGCGCGTTATCTGCGTTCTAGCTCCGGAGCTCAACGCGCGACTGACCGCCGCGCCCCGCCGCGAGGCCGCGCGCGGCGCTCAGATGGAACAGCGCCGCGCTCACCGCAGTGAGCGCGCCCAGCAGATGAGCGGCTCGGCCGCCGACTGCAGCGCCGCCGCCCCTTCCTGGGGATCTGCGAGCAGAGTCCGAAGCTGCTGGCATGAGGGCGGATGGAGATGCGATGCGTGGCATCTGTTTGGACGAGTGCACCACCTTGGATGTGCGTGTTCCCCTTCAGCGCGGCCATCAGTTTCATCGGGGCCGCGCCGGCGCCTGGGCCCCGGCCCGCCGCGAGCTTTGACAGCTCTCAGCTCAGGGCCGACGGGGCCGAAGTGCGAGGCGACCCGACTCGGGCGCCGTTCATTTGGTGGCGCGAGAGGCCCCGCGGGTCCTTTTGATTTCACACCGCGCCCCGCAGCACCTACGGACGAGGCGCCAACGACACCTCAGGGAGCTCAGATGCGGGAAATCATCATGTTCAGCCCGCCGGCATCGGGGCGGGGGCGGTCGTCGCCGCGGAGCTCGCCACAAGGCGGCGGAGCCGGGCTGCCAATGCACCCCTGGTGGCCAGCCGCGACCCCGCCGACGAGCGCGCCACTCGCGTGCATCGCAGTCGCGCTCAGCTACTTATCGGTCAGCTCAGCGCGATGGTGGACCCAGGAGCTTGGGCCGACCTCGCGGCTGAGGCGCTCGCGCGCCAGCTGCGCCGACGCGCCGTCGAAGCAGGGGGCCGGCCACGGCGTTCTCATGGGCGAGCTTTTGAGCATCCAGGGTTCAGCGTCACGGCGCCCATCGTTCGAGAGTATCTGGCGGCGACCCACCTGGGCTTTTCGTCGGATTGCGAAGCGCGGTGCCCATGCGCGCGATCATGTACATGGGCAGGCACCGGCTCGTTCTCCCAGTGGGCGGCGTGGTGCAGATCCAGCCCGCTGGCGCGCGGGGCCCTCTCACGCGGGGCCCGCGCGCGACTCGCGCCAGCCCCGATGGCGCGGGCCTCGAGCTTCCTGGCGGCGATCCCGTCATCGGAGGAGCGGGCTTTGCTCGACCACAGGCCCGGTCGAGCGCCTCCTCCGTCGGCCGTCGGTGCTCTCGAGGACCTGCCCAAGTCCGAGCGTTCACCGCCGCGCCGGAAGCCTTCGCCCCCCAGCGGTCAAGTTCGCGAGCGCCCCAATGCGTCCGCCAGGCATGCCGCCAATGACGCCCCTGGACCCGGCGTAGAAATGGCTGGAAGCCGCCCGGGCATCGCCCTTGCGCCCTGGACCTCCGCCGACTTCTTCGCGGCCAAGCAGCTCGAGAGGTCTCGCCGTGAGCCGCGCTCGCGCCGCCAGTGCCGCTGGCCTGGCTTCGCCGCCGCCGCGCTCGTTGGCGAGCCAGGCCCCCGCCGCCGCCAGAGGCGCGCGCGATGATCCTGTCCCGCTCGCCCGAGGACGACCCGTCGCCGCGCGAGCCGGCACCGCTCTCGCCGGACAACGAGCGCGTCCGGGACTTCGCGCGCACGCGGTGCCATTCGGACGCGATCCCAGAGAATATTTGGAGGTGGTGCTTGTACTCCTCGGAGGTGATTGAGCCTATCGTTCGCGCGGCCTTCGCGCGCGGGAGCCGCCCGTCGCGGGGCGTGGTCTTAGGCCCGACATCATCGCCGCGCCGTCCATCGGTCGGGGGCAAGTAGACCCCGACGCGCGCGCCGATGGTCGCCCACAACTTGCGCCAGCACGGGGGGCACGCATGGGATTCGGATGAGCGCCGGGCGTGCCGGCGCCACTCGGCAGCTCTTCGGAGTCGGAGACTCGCCAGGGTGCGGAGTGGACCCGCTGCGGGAGGTCGACCAGCCAGACGACTCGGGCGCCGCGCCGTCGTCGGGGGCGCGCGCGCTGGCTCGGCGCGCCCGCGCTCGGAGCCCCATCGCGCTGGGGCGCGCGGCCGCCGCGACCAGGGTGCCCCCCGCCAGGCTGGGTGCCGTCGCTCCGCCGCAGCGCCCGCCCCCTGGTGCTCGTGGGGCCCCTCGGGCACGCCGACCTCGCGGGCGAGGCCAGTGGCGGGGGCAAGAACCAGAGCAAGGGCAGTCCAAGGACGACGACGAAGAAAATCGGGGCTGCAGCGTCGGACGTCAAGCCCGAGAAGGCTTGCCCTGACTCCGAATCCGCCTTACTTTGAGGAAATTCGTAAGTAGGGCTTGGAATTCCCGCCTTACTTTTCAAGCCCCGCTAGTGCCAAGTTCCGCCCTACTTTTCTGTTGTTGTTTCCGCCCTATTTCTGTTGATTTTCGCACTATTTAATGCTGGGTGCAGAAATTTCCGCCCTACTTTTTCGGCCTCTTATAGGTGGATTTCCGACGCCATATAAAGTTGGAACAAAGCCAAAGTAGGGCGGATCCGGAGTCAGGATGGAGGGGGGACAAGAAGGCCAAGCGCCGTCACGGCCCCCGCCCCACGAGCCTGGCGAGGCCGCCACAGGCGAGGAGCCAGCAGCCGAGCCAGAAGGCAGCTCGCCACAGGCGTTTCCAGTCGACAAGATCGAGAGAGCTCTCGACGAGCGAGGCGGCAGCGCGATCCCTTCGCGCGCCCCTTAGGGCCACCCTTTCTATCGATCTCCCGTCTCCCACGTTACTTGGTCTAGGCCGCTCCACTTTTTTGTCTTTCTTCCTTCTCTCTCCTTTTTTTTTGTTCTCTCTCTCTCTCTCTCCTCGCCCACCGCGGCTCCGAGCTATTCCCTCGCCTGGCATTTTGGTATAGGCTTTCGGGCAGTCGGTCCGCAGCTCGTAGTCCTCAGACATAGCCATGGCGCTGGGTGAGCACACCCCGCGCGCACTCGCACGAGGCGTGCCCGGCGCCATCCCTAGGACGAGCTCCCGAGTATAGCCAGTGAGCTCGCCAGCTGTCGCGTGCCGACACTTTCTGGTCAGATGGCGGCGGCAGATCCTGGTTGGGTTGGGACTGCACGCGGGGGGGGATGGATTGTTCGGGATTTGCTCCCTAGAGCTGTCCGATCGCCCTTGCAGTCCCGGCTCACATGCGACGTGCCGCTGCCGTGTTGGCCCTCAGCGCCAGTGCACACCGCATGCGTTCGAGACGTTGAGGGCAGATTTATTATTACATCTTGTTCCGCTTCTGAATGCCACCAACCTTCGCAATTCTAGTTCCTCTTCCGCATCCCCCACCCGTCTTCATCAGCAGCGAGCGTGGATTGCGAATGTTTGCGGGTACTTGAGCTTTCCCATATTTTCTTTCATTCGCGATCGTGGCACATTGAATCCGTATCCATGTGCCGCGTGCCTTCGATACTCTCTTTGTCCCAGTCAGCATAAACCGACGCGCCAGGGGTATAGTAGTTAGTTTGCCAACAGAGGTTCGCAACTCGTTGCGCCAGTTTGCCGTTTCAGCGTCAGCTCTTGCTGCTAGTGTTCCTGCTCGTGCTGCTGCTGCCTTTCCTGCTCATTCTACATTTTTCTCTCGATCGTGTCCCCCCCACTATCCGCATTCTTACCCCTCGAGGTCGGCGAATTGCAAGCGCATCGAAGAGCTGGGCGTCGAGCTGCGACAAGAGGACAAGGCGCGCAGAGAAGCGAAACGCACACACACACATATTCGCCCTCGAACTAATCATCCTCCTTCCCCCCCCTCCCTCTCCTGTTGGAAATGGGATGGGGATTGTGGGATCGTGGAAAACGGGGTGCGCTTTGGCATCCCCGAAGGAGACAGAGCATCGCGTTGTCCAGCGTCTGGAGTCGCGCTTGGAGCCTGGGCTTCTGCGATTGTCTCGACGCTGTAGATGCTTCTGCTTCTCTTCCACTGGTTTTGTTCTCCTCCTTCCCGTGCTCATTCTCTTCAAGTACCGCGTTCAAGTCCACGTCCTCCTCGAGCTCGTGTTCTTCCTCCCCGTCCCTCCTCATCATGGTCGCTCTGTTCGCGCTACTCGTCATCTTCTTCTACAGTGACACATTTTGAATGGTATTCTCTTTTCTCTTCCCTGATTCCGTCTGGAAGATCGCCGGTTCTCTCCGCGTGCAGCGTTTTGCTCCGGATTTCAGCAGTTTTTTCCCAACCATCCTGTGGTGGTGGGTCCTCGTTTTGAAGAGACGGTGCCCCGCGTCTCCTTCCTCCTCCTCTCCTCCTCCGCCTCCTCTCCCCTCCTCTCCTCTCCTCCTCTCCTCCCCTCCTCTCCTCTCCTCCTCTCCTCTTCACCCACCCAGTACACCGTTTCGTGGCTCCATAGGGAGCTCCACCGAAGGCCCCAGTGCCCGCGCCCGCATGCGTCACCCACACCCATTTCGGCACACCCCTCACACGTTTCGTGGCTCCATAGGGAGCTCCACCGAAGGCCCCAGTGCCCGCGCCCGCATGCGTCACCCACACCCATTTCGGCACACCCCTCACACGTTTCGTGGCTCCATAGGGAGCTCCACCGAAGGCCCCAGTGCCCGCGCCCGCATGCGTCACCCACACCCATTTCGGCACACCCCTCACACGTTTCGTGGCTCCATAGGGAGCTCCACCGAAGGCCCCAGTGCCCGCGCCCGCATGCGTCACCCACACCCATTTCGGCACACCCCTCACACGCTTCGTGGCTCCATAGGGAGCTCCACCGAAGGCCCCAGTGCCCGCGCCCGCATGCGTCACCCACACCCATTTCGGCACACCCCTCACACGTTCGTGGCTCCATAGGCTCCATGCCATGCGGGCACACCCCTCACACGTTTCGTGGCTCCATAGGGAGCTCCACCGAAGGCCCCAGTGCCCGCGCCCGCATGCGTCACCCACACCCATTTCGGCACACCCCTCACACGTTTCGTGGCTCCATAGGGAGCTCCACCGAAGGCCCCAGTGCCCGCGCCCGCATGCGTCACCCACACCCATTTCGGCACACCCCTCACACGTTTCGTGGCTCCATAGGGAGCTCCACCGAAGGCCCCAGTGCCCGCGCCCGCATGCGTCACCCACACCCATTTCGGCACACCCCTCACACGTTTCGTGGCTCCATAGGGAGCTCCACCGAAGGCCCCAGTGCCCGCGCCCGCATGCGTCACCCACACCCATTTCGGCACACCCCTCACACGTTTCGTGGCTCCATAGGGAGCTCCACCGAAGGCCCCAGTGCCCGCGCCGCATGCGTCACCCACACCCATTTCGGCACACCCCTCACACGTTTCGTGGCTCCATAGGGAGCTCCACCGAAGGCCCCAGTGCCCGCGCCCGCATGCGTCACCCACACCCATTTCGGCACACCCCTCACACGTTTCGTGGCTCCATAGGGAGCTCCACCGAAGGCCCCAGTGCCCGCGCCCGCATGCGTCACCCACACCCATTTCGGCACACCCCTCACACGTTTCGTGGCTCCATAGGGAGCTCCACCGAAGGCCCCAGTGCCCGCGCCCGCATGCGTCACCACACCCATTTCGGCACACCCCTCACACGTTTCGTGGCTCCATAGGGAGCTCCACCGAAGGCCCCAGTGCCCGCGCCCGCATGCGTCAGCCACACCCATTTCGGCACACCCCTCACACGTTTCGTGGCTCCATAGGGAGCTCCACCGAAGGCCCCAGTGCCCGCGCCCGCATGCGTCACCCACACCCATTTCGGCACACCCCTCACACGTTTCGTGGCTCCATAGGGAGCTCCACCGAAGGCCCCAGTGCCCGCGCCCGCATGCGTCACCCACACCCATTTCGGCACACCCCTCACACGTTTCGTGGCTCCATAGGGAGCTCCACCGAAGGCCCCAGTGCCCGCGCCCGCATGCGTCACCCACACCCATTCGGCACACCCCTCACACGTTTCGTGGCTCCATAGGGAGCTCCACCGAAGGCCCCAGTGCCCGCGCCCGCATGCGTCACCCACACCCATTTCGGCACACCCCTCACACGTTTCGTGGCTCCATAGGGAGCTCCACCGAAGGCCCCAGTGCCCGCGCCCGCATGCGTCACCCACACCCATTTCGGCACACCCCTCACACGTTTCGTGGCTCCATAGGGAGCTCCACCGAAGGCCCCAGTGCCCGCGCCCGCATGCGTCACCCACACCCATTTCGGCACACCCCTCACACGTTTCGTGGCTCCATAGGGAGCTCCACCGAAGGCCCCAGTGCCCGCCCACATGCGTCACCCACACCCATTTCGGCACACCCCTCACACGTTTCGTGGCCCCATAGGGAGCTCCGCCGAAGGCCCCAGTGCCCGCGCCCGCATGCGTCCCCACACCCATTTCGGCACACCCCTCACACGTTTCGTGGCCCCATAGGGAGCTCCACCGAAGGCCCCAGTGCCCGCGCCCGCATGCGTCCCGCACACCCATTTCGGCACACCCCTCACACGTTTCGTGGCCCCATAGGGAGCTCCACCGAAGGCCCCAGTGCCCGCGCCCGCATGCGTCAGCCACACCCATTTCGTCAACTCCCTCACACGTTTCGTGGCTGCATAGGGAGCTCCACCGAATGCCCCAGTGCCCGCGCCCGCATGCGTCCCGCACACCCATCCCCTTCACACGTTTCGTGGCCCTATAGGGAGCCCCACCGAAATTTGCAGTGTCAACTGCGGTATTCACACCTGCACATGGTTGGGTCCTTCGTCAGGCTAATTTTCTTATGGTGTTTTGCAATCCGATTGTCTTCGGTATTTCCAAATTGGTGTCCCCGCTGCAGCGTGGGCCTCATTTTCGCATCGGCGCCTTGCTCCCGTCGTTCAGAACAGCGCTGTCGCCTCCGCGCGTGCCAGTTTTCTGGATCCGAGCCGTTTTTTTTCATCGTTGTCGACCTTCCCCTGGTCCTCCTGCTCCTCCCGCTCCTTCCATTCCAGCTCCTGCTGCTGTTGTTCGTCCTCGTCCTCCTCCTCCTTCCACGTCTTCCTCCGTTTCCTCCTGCTCATACTCATGCTCACCCGCCACCTCCTCCTCCTCCTCCTCCGCCTTCTCCTATGTACGCAGCTCCCTTTTTCCGATTCTGCATAACACGATGGGGTCTTTTCTGCAGTCACAGTCAGGGCGCTGAAGAAGGAACCCTTCTCTTTGGGGAGGGGCTCGGTGTTCCTTGATTGTTGAACAGTTTGGCTTGGGTTTTCCTGAGGTTTTCGATGGGAAATCCAAGCTTAACTTTTGAGATCAAGGGGCCTCGTTCCTTATTTAATGTTCCTTAGGTCAACGCCCCGACTGTACAGGTCGGGCTATCTCACGCGTCCGCGGATCGAGAAAACAGTCAGCGCACTGGGAAGCGACGAGAGGGAGGGAGGGATGTCGGGTGTGGCGCGAGCGCACCAGCTTGCCCCTCCCCTCTGCTTCCTCTCCTTCGGGTGTTGCTAGAAGTGCCCCTGGCCCAAGGTGCCTCCAGGATTCCCAAGGAGGCCCCCACGGCCTCCAGAGCACCCCTCACGAGGCCCAGAGGGCCTCAGGGGCTCCAACATTGAACGAAAAGCTGGGGGCACCTTTGGCCAGGGGCACCTTGAGCAACCCCCGACTCCTGGGCGCTGGATCAGTGATTTTGCTTCCGAGGAGGGGGGTCGGGCCATCTTAGGGCAACGTGTGCTTATTTTTTGCCCACGGGCCAAGGAATACGAATCGGTTGCCTCGCCATAGGCACCTCGAGGAGGCGTGGCCTTGCGGCCAGCGGCGCCCCAGAATCAAAGACACGCCATCTTCGGGTCAGGGCCCCCGCGGCGGGTGGGTCGCTGTGGCGAGCGGCGCCCCGGAACCACCCTCTCTGGGTCGGGGCCCTGCGGGGGCCAGGTGGCCTCCTGTGGCGAGCGGCGCCCAGGAATCCAGGGCCGCCGCCACCTTGGGGCTGGGACCATGGAGCGGGGCGGGTTCCTGCGACGAGCGGCGCCCGGGAGTCCAAGGGTCGCCCTCTCTGGGCCATGGCCATCGGCAGGAACACTGCGACCCCTCTCGCGTCCTGGCCTTGAACAAGGCTGGGACTCGATGAGGGTTCCCTTTCTGGGGCACATTTGGCGCCGTGCGGCGCCCATCAGGCACGGGAGGCCAGCATGACGAGACTTCTTAGCTCGACGTTTTTGTTTATTGTCCTGCCGACCCCCTTAGCCTCGTGGGCGGCCAAAAGGCGCCGTGACAATTTATTAGGGGCTCGGCAGCGTTAAACCCGATGATTTTTGTCATGGCGCCACGGAGCGCCCATACAGCACTGGGGCCATCATTCCACAAACCATGGGTTGTGTTCGCGTTTCGTCGTTTGTCTGATTGTATCTGCCTTACTCGTGATGATAGGGTTCCCGGTATTTGCTATATCATCTGCGACGCCGCAGCGACTTTGACCAGCTTTGTGCTGCGCGTGCTCTGTCTTGATTGTCGCTGTGCGAGGCTTACATCGTTTTCTCCATGGGTTCGGCAGCGCCAAAGCCGAGGGCTTCTGTCGCGCCGACCCCTTCGCCTCGTGGGCAGCCCCACAGGCGCCGCGACAAGCAAAGCTTGTGGGTTCGGCATTGCCAGGCCCAAGAATCTGTGTCATGCCGCGGTGGGGCGCCCATTGATGGGCCTGTTTTCCACCAGCGCCACCATAAGTTGTAGGGGGAGGGGGTCCTCCTCCTCCTGCTCCTCCTCCTCCTGCTCCTCCTCCTCCTGCTCCTCCTCCAACTTATGGTGGTGGTGGTGGAAAACATGCTCATCACCCAGAAGGTTCGGGGGGGGCCCATAAGGTACAGGGTCCGGCTTGAATAAGGAACACTTTCTTTAAGGGGTTCGGTCGTTCCTTTGGTTTGAATGCGTTCCGCTACCTTCTTGGCGGCGAGCCCCCCTC